GTTTTACGTACGCACAGTGTGGTGTTATGGAGGCCAAGTAAACACGTAATTCGAATGTATACACAATTCTGTAGTGATTCAGCCGAAGCCATACTGTGTCTTTGTTAGTATTGTCCCTGGCGACATCGTGCCTTTCTTGTAAAACAGAAGTCCATTGTTCGCTACAAACACTCAAACACGCCAGGCGAGTACAACTGGATTTTTAGAAGCAAAATTTTTGACGGAAGTCAGGAGTTGTTTTCTGTGGTGGTTTCAGTTTTCAGCCAAGACATTTGTAGTCTTCACGAGCGGAACCACATAGCCTTTTAGTAGTTATCCAAGCGCATTTCGGACTCGCGATTCATTTATGCCGGTATGTGTGTGAGTTCATTTGAACCGCAGACAACGAACTTAAGTGAGTGATTTCACTCAGCACGGATCTCGCATCGTATCTACGAAAAGAAGAGGTCAAGTTATTCCATATCCCTGACAACCATCGTTACATGCCAACCCATAAGTGCAATATTTTCAGCTTGGCTGTGCCGTTTAATTATCAGTTGGTCCGAAACATTGACGCTGTACTGAATATTGGAACCGTGCCCAAGGACTCCGTTTAAGGCCATACTCGTATCTTTATTTTTTGAACAAATCATAGATACGTGGTTATTATTAACCCAATCGATTGATTAGTCCGTGAACTAGAAACCTTACCAGCATACTGATCGATATAGTCGTTTTTTTTTTTATTTTAGTTGCGAGAGAGGCAAGTGAAGTTGATCCGATAAACGAAGTCAATAAAATGAGTCGTCTAAAGAGTGGCATTATAAGTTTGGGAAGCGATGACCATGTTCGATATTCACGGAAATACGCCGCAACGGCTTAAATTGCCACTATTGTCCAGTTATGCCTCCCTCTATCAGTGCATACCTAGTGGAATCACTTTTTAATGAATGTGGTTACCGGGGAAATACTGGCTAATGCAGTCGCCCAATGCATCGGCGACTATTAATAATATGCCTCTTCACACCAGACGCGACGACCAGCAATCAGTACTGTATTATGCCATAGACCTTAGAAAACTAAGGTCTATGATTATGCACAGTGTTGATTGACGTGTTATTGTAGGTGAATACACACAATCCACGCAAGACGGGATAACAAGAAAAAGCGTCCACGGCGAGATTTGTGGCGCTTTGGAATACAAAATCGTTCCTTTCATGTATCCCATTGGCGAAGTGGAAATAATGGTACTGGTAATACAATAGACCATTCTACAATCGCAGTTTTGTTGTCGCTCCACAGAAGTTTACGATGCCATTTTTGTTTAGATCATTAACTCAACTGGTCAAAGTAAAGCTATAAGTAAAGCCGTTGTCACCCGCACCGTGACCCTACCCATCCCACTGGTATCATGTGTCGAGACAGCCCACCTGACAGGCCTGCTAATGCCTATATATAGGTGGCTGAAGTGTAAATATGTTATCCGTGGCGCCGCTAAAGGGCACCGTGACTTGAGTAAATTCGGAACCGAAATGCAACTTCTTTTGAGTTTACAAATTTCGACATTCTAAAAGAATATCCAAATTCAGTCTATGCTCATTGGTCTCTCGGTTCGCATAATTATGTCAGCAACTAGTACGCGCGCGGACTGGGCGAAACTAGCAAAATGTAGGGTTAATGACTTAACTCGCACAGAAATATCAATTGTTAATATACTTGATCCGATGATGACGTTTGGAACTACTCGAACCGCATCATCCAAATAAAATATTATTACAAAAGGAACAGATTCACCTTTATGTTAATTGGTACGTGTATTTGCGTTTCATAATCCCATTACTTCCTTGAACGAATCAATGGCTCTGTGTGAGACCAAGCCTCGAGGTGAGATGGCAACGCATGTACAACTAAAAAAGCACTAAGAGGCCTCTAGCACGGTCTAGTGCGTTGCGATTATTTTAAACGTCAACCAACCCACGTTGAAAGATGAATAGTTCTGTTAGCATCCACTGCATCAATGCTTTCATGTACAGTGCCCTCTTGTTTCTCTCAACAAAAGACAAAATAGTTTTCGCTTTTGACCTGTTGTGACATGCCGATGTAGTCTCCTCCCTCGGGGCAGGGGATTCTACAGCAACATGTCCAGTTTCTTTTCAAAACAGCACGCATTGGCTATAAATATTTTAATCGTAGCAAAATCGTGCTTGGGTCAATGGAAGTGCGTGTTGTTTTAAATTTTGCTATTGGTTCGACGAGAGAAGGGGAGCGCCACGGCAACTGTGGGAAATGTGTCGATATTCAACGTGACTTGAGTTTACTAGACTGACGTCGAATAAATATGACCCACGTTATACATTGAAGGTGTACTGAGATGACGTTTAGGATTCTTGTTTTTTTTTAACTATTTTGTATGTCTCAACCTTAGATCTCGTTGAGAGTTAGAGTACCGCGTGACTTGTTTTTCTTCCCCAAATGGTGTTCCATTGTCTCCATCATCGCATCCCAACACGCTCTCTTACAACCGAGGTTACTTATGACCATGGTTACACAAGACGGGAAACTGTAGACGTAATGGCGCGAGAGAATGTCACACAATTCAAGAGACAAATACAACTCTCGCAGCTCTCTCGCTCTCAACGTGACTTTGGCGATAATTTGCGAGAAAGAACATGTTCACCCGCTTTTTCTACAGTTCAGAATTACTGAGGGGGGGGGGTCAAAAGGTAATTCGATGTGAATTCAACGGTTTAAAACGGTGTTGATAAATAAATTTAAACCAAACTTTTTTACAATTTTACAAACAATTGTACAAGTTGCCATGATGCCACCATAACGCGCGTTGTTAGGTCTTAATCTCTTCTGAAGAATAATGTCCGTGTTACAAAAAAAAAAAAAAAAAACGATTATCCACATGAACACGTGACCACATGCACGTGGCCATTTTTACAGTCTAGGCTGAGTAATTCACCATTTTTTTTTGTTTTATTTTTAGGGAGGAAAGCTGGGGATTTTTGAAAGACTACGACCAAAAGGTATTCCATATTGTCAGAATGCATTGTTCCTACTATGATCAAAATAATGTACAAAGGTGAAGCCAGGTGCGACGTCAGCGATGCAACACTCCCATTAAACAATATCACCACCGCCCACTTACATATACCCAACAAATCTCTACATTGTTGGTAGATTGTAATCAATTATTGTCATATCGTTTCAGCTAAATGTCACAATAGCCCTCAGATACAACTATCCACTATGATCTCGTTTAATCACAGTTATTGACACAGGCCATTCGTAGTTAACAACGGGATTTAACATTTTAGCGGACTTTGCATATGCACCAAACCAAGTATTGAATAGAACTGTGCGTGGTCTTATAGTTTACTTCACACTTATACGCCAGTGATTGAATGTTTCGTGTTTCTTTCTTTTCTTTTTTTTTGTGTGTGTTGTATACAGTAATACTTATAAACTTTATTCTTGTTCTAGGGCGAATTAAAAGAACCGGAAGAGTTACCTGAAAAAGTATCTGTGTTTTCCGACGACCATCCTAACACGGCGACTCAGGTCATCGGGAGTCGACTTAAAACTGAGACTGCGCAGAAGATGCTGAGTTTAGAACACAGATTCATGTCGCATAATAGGAGAAGAACGGCGCCCGATTTGCTTTGTTATGACTAGACATTGCCATGACTACACACGGATAATTCCTCAAGGATGTATGTTACAATGAAGCAACTCATCAGACATTTACAGGGATATTAGTTTTCCCGGGTTTGACGTAACCACATCCAATATAGTTGTAATTGTCGTGCAAGAAAGACGCGTAGTGAACGTAATGTGTTGCTTCGTTGTTTTGGCGCAGTACGTTCAACAAGTATGTGTATGCTGATCAGATGTTGCATAGGAGAAGAATTGCTTGTATAAAAATTAGGATTATTATCCAGCTAGATCGTTTTCTGTGTAAACGTATAACGGCAAAGCAAGAACACAAATCCAGCAAAATAAAGGACAGTCTCTGTACTTGAACAGTTCAAAACTAAGCTGAAAAAATAACATAACATTCCTATAACTTCACTTTCCCATGATGCACAATTCTTTACTGGAATATACTGCCCTCTATCAACAAGTGATTCCCCAAGATTGAAAAGTACAGACTGAGGGTAGCATGCGTTACTTGGCACAAAAATGAAGTACAATGACAAACTTCATGAAACGTCTTTTTATGATTAATTATGTTGGACAATCGTTTTATTTTAAAAGTATAACTAATAACTAAAGGGTCATAGTTTTTTTGTAATATCAACATGTAACATCATGTCAACTGCGACAAAAAGTAGATTTAGTACTACTAGTAGTTAATTTCGTACATGTCTCAGTTCTCGCCACGACACTGCGCCCTCTGTTGGTGTTTATTTTGTGTTCTTTCGTTTCTATAATTTGAGCAAGCGGATTCTGCTATAGAAATACACATTCCTTACAATTGACGGCGCGTGTTATATTTTATCGGTAGAGACGGATGGCAAGATGTCGGTATTATAAGCCAAAGACTACTCAATAGAGTATATATATATTGTTATGAATTGGAGTATAATAAATTTGGTGTCAAATTAAAATAAATTACAAAAGTACTGGTTATTTTTTTTTTAAATTCACGCCTAAATATCAGTCACTTCCATGTGTCCATATCTACATGTCAGACATACCTGGAATGAACACGCTCAGATACAGATACTTTACAAATGCAAATACATTCGTTCAGTGCGATCCAATAAAAGATGCATGGTCGAATGGCGGTCACTTTAGTGTTAATATACTAGTAATCGAAATCATGCATTTTTGCCATTCTGTGACAGTATATTTGGTGTGAATTGACGTAAATCAAACTTGTGACATCATTTTCTTTCACAAACCTAGATCACAATATGGCCGACTGATGAACATTTTTTTTTCAAATAAGAATACTGTTCTTAAACCACGATCGTGACTCACACTATTGTATTTTGCGGCAATTATCTGGGAGAATACTAGTATAACAGCAAACTAATGCCAGAACGCTAAGACGAATTTATAGAAATCCCAGAGTACTTCAAGTATTTTCTGCAGGACTTTCAGACCAGTGTTGTTCTCCTGTGACGATATATGCCATTGATCTGAAGTTAGATTGTAACTTCCACCTGAATTTCAGACCTAGACAAGATCCTTCGCTCATCCAAGACATGGAGCGACCATTCTATTGATTGAGCCAAATAGTTCAGTTGTGGGACCAAGTGGTCCGTGATTACACAGACATGGATCAGGTTATTTTTTCTACTTGTCACTTCATTGTTTGTCACATGTTCACCAATGTTCAGCCATACATTATGGACATTTACATTGCAGTTGGTACTGAAAGGAATCAAGTCTCTCTATTGCGAAATCGTTAATTTCGGTAAGAAGAGGTACGATTTTAAATATAAACACCATTACATTTGTGAATACATTTTAAAGAGGGAGGGTCGTCACCTGCGCACCCGCGGGAATTATGTCCCAAGCGATGATAACAACACGCGCTAAGGCTCATGGGTAGACGCATGTTTGTAACCAATGACACGCTATGGCCACCTGAGCATGCGTAGGTGACTACTCCCTGCTTGTAGTGTTGTCACGTTTTGTGTTGTATCATATTAATTCAGTAATGAAAAATGTGAGGATATTCCAAGTAATGTAATGGTTTATAACAGCGAACCACCTACCCTCAAAGTTCCTGGCTTTATAATGCTGAGTCGGCACTATTTGATTCCCAGCCACAAACTTCTAAATGTTCGTAGAACATACCAGTATCACTGACATGTCTGTATTTATGCAATTTTACAATTATCTCGGCCTTGAGAAAATTGCATTGAAGTACTCTAAATTACACAATACAAATATTTAAACAAAATGTCATTCAATTTTACTCTCAAATATGCCTCATATCAATGCATAATAGAATTATGTTGTTAGGTTATCAAGTTAAGATTCAAACTGAGCACTAGAGGGCGCACTATTACTGATGATATATATTAACACGTTTTCACTACAATAAATAATAGTTTCGGTTCAAATTTCATTATTTTGATGTTTCAAACTCACAGTTGTAAAATGATCCAATAAGCTTTATAGTTAGTTTAACATATTTCCTTTGTTAAAACGAGTGAAATCATCTAAACTGAGATACATGTCAAGAGAAAAAAAAACTTTTTTGCATTGGTAATAATTAAACATTAATTAGAATTAATTGGATGTAGATTAACCCGTGACACCTGGCGGCCATTCATTTTCCCTTGTGTGTATCAAATAAACAATGTGGAATTATGGCAAAAAGTCATCTTTGAAATTTACACTTAGACTATGAAAAATATCCATATTTAACGCTTCAAATAATAAAGCCACAGCGGTTGTATTCCATTTAAAATTATTCCTACATAATGTGGTCATTGATTATTTAATTCTCATTATCACCAACAGTTAAACTTTCAAAATACTAGCTTAATGTTCTGTAAAACATGTATTTTTCGCGTGCATGTCTTTTTGGCGCATTTAGAGAGAGTACTGATTCGCTTATTCAAGATGTCGCTAATGACTTTATTATAAATTCAAAATGGCCAAGGCTTGGAGATTTTGTATACAGTAATACGGAACATAAACATCTATGGTGCTTCCTAATTACACTTGACAGTTTTTATTTGTTTTTTGTGGAGGTGATCATGATAACTGTCAATTTGTTTTGGCACGCGACAGAAAAGAATTGTGAAAACAGGAAATCAACAATGACAAGAGAGATTCGCTAAATCAACATTTCGCTATTACGTCATTTTACCACAATTCGCTAAAATTGTATGTCGCTTTTTCAACATGTTTTACAGTATTAAATTGGACTGAGGGCGTACTACGACAAATATAAAACTGGAATATTGGAGTCAAATTTCATTATATCATCCTGGTCTTCAAGATGAACAAGATGACCTGTTTTCAAGATGAACAAAAAACCCAACCTGCGGGATTTGATACAAGGTAGCTGTGACATGGAAACATTCTTGGGGGGGGGGGGACCGGACAGATACCCAAGACAGCTGAAAACTGAAAAAGTCTAATTGATTAAACGATTGATTTAGAGTCATCTACATTAGGTGAACAGTTTGTAGAATGTCATTTAAGCCACACCTCTAATGTTACGGCGTTGTCTATTGGCTGGAAGATGAAATATGTCAACATGACTTGCACTGACACAGGACGAAACCCGGGGCAGTTGATACATAGCTAAGTAGGGAGATGCCCCTGATTGCTCAAAAGTCTGACCATTTTTATACCAGGGTAGTGACAAAATCTATACCCATATTTATACCAAAGTACCATTTCTGTCATCACTGTTTATTCCAAATAAAACAATTACTGTATTTGCTCTATTAGAAGAGCATCTCGAATCGAAACACATGTAAGCCAACAGTTGCATTGTATATTGAGTTATTAAAATATGTATTTTGACCATAGAAATACCTCTGTCACTTACATAAGAGCATATTATTAACACAATGTTCAGGTTATTTAGGTTGTTAAATGAGGAACAACAGTTCGCTTTCTCTTTGATCTCCTCAGGGGTCCGCTATCAGACCAGAAATAAGACCGATACTTATACCTAAAATCCAAAAACCGAGACACATTTCAGGGGCACGTCCCATCAGGCAAGTTCTATGTTTTGCCCCTCCCCGGGACGAAACAGCGCGTAGAACAGTACAAACCTCGCCCGTAATAGTCACGGTGGTTGGGGTTGGTGTGTGCAGTATGTCGGTTAATATCAAGTTACAGGAAGAAATACTGGAAATAGAACTACTGGTTAGAGCTGGTAGACTCAACGTTTTAATGAATGACCGGTCTCAAGAACGAAGCATGTATCTGGTGGAGGTGTCAACGAAACTGTACGACACAGATCGCGAGTAATATGGCTAGATGACACCGGGTGTTTTGACATCCCCGAACACCTCAGGGATAGTGTGTATGCAGTCCGTGGATTAGCGCTGTTGTTGAGTCCACGGCGAGATACAGACATACAGCGTCAATACCCCAGTCAACTTGGAAATGTCTTTGCCCATCATTTGTTGCTAATAAAATGAATACGATGTCACAAGATTACGAATAAAACAGTCTTGCGATTACAGATTTAGTCGGCATAGGGATTGAACAATATATTGAAGGTCGTATCAAAATCAAACTGAAAATTAAAATTATGTAAACACAGTACCGCTGTATTCACGAGAATTACTCAGCATTACGTCCACGAAATAAATTTGGAGGTGAAGCATATACTAGCAGTAAACTGACAAGGTGACACTCCCTCTACCCCAATACCCGTTTGGAAATGTTGTTGGTTGATCCCTAGCCCCACAAAGTTTTGTCTGCCACCGGATATGTCGTTCCCTTTGCGTATACGTCGAAACTAGGCCTGGTCCTACCAATACACAATGAACATTGTAATTTTGATTTCAATATTTCAATTTTCAGTTTAGATTTGTGCACTCTACACTCTACAATGTTGAATTCATCACATATTGTGATATGTTCTTGGGGACGTTCGTAAATTAATAATAAATGGCCGTATTATGTACCACAGCTAAAGTAATTTTCTATAACGTTTTTTGCATTTCAATTCGACAAATGCACATTTGACAATATGGATAAAATTCAATATCGTTGTTTTCAATATTGAGAAATGATTTTTTGGCATAATCATATTTACTTTATATATTTTATAATGAATGGCCGCCATATATGTTACATATATAATATGTAGATTACAAAATAGCATGATTAATTCTAAAATACAATTTTGATTCTATTGGAGTAATTAAGTTGACCTGCATTGCCCACCATTTGTGGTCCATGCCCTTATTTAGAACACTTGTGGTTCATGCCCTTATTTAGAATACCAATCTCCTTCCCAGAGGCCTTTGCGCTTTACACAATAGTGCCTCTGCCACAGGCAGCCTTCAAATTTGTGGTCAATCACCTCACTACGCACGGCCATATTTCCGAGGTTGTTTCATTTGAAACCGAACTACAAATGTGGAAAAAAACGTATGTGACATCCGAACTATTTATTAATGTCAGACTTCAGTAAACACGGAAATATGAACAATTTTATCACGGACTATGTTTTGCAAGGTAATGTTTTTGTAGTGAAATGGCGCACGTGATAAACTAAAACTAGGGAAAACAGCGTTCTGATTATGTACATAAGATGGGGAAAGAAACATTAAACACTCATTTTACTCGAAGGGATTTCCTAACAACCTTTGTTTTCTTGCGAATATTTCAATACTATTTCTAGCTTGAACAGATTCGATTCTCCGCTTCTAACAGTAATAGAACACACAGGTTCTAATAAGTTTATAAAGTTAGTAGTTTATTGTATAATCTAATGTCTTGATAACTTTGAAAGCACTGCACTTTCCAAGCGTAAAACATGATGTATGTTTTAATTTAATTTACCGAACAGTTCTTTCAGATTTAGGACGTAAAACATTTTATTAAAGTGATTGAAATAACACGGTGGCTTAAGCGTAACTGTGTTAACCGACGGAGTCTTGTAGTTCGAACACATTCGAATATGGAAATGAGTTCTATGCAAAGCTGCTTTGTGCAGTGATGATAACAATCTCCCTCCCAGAGGCCTTTGCACTTTAGGCAATAGTGCCTATGCCACAGGCAG